GGCGCATGCGCCACCCCGCTCCCCTCCCGCCCCCCTTTCTCGGTTTAGCATATTGGAAAAAGGGAGCAGTAAGGGCACTGTGAAGGCCGAGACGGGGAGCCGGGAATGAGTGGCGGGCCCGCCCCAGGGATGTTCGGCTGGCTCCGGCGCACGCGCCCATCGGCCCTTCCGACCCGGGAGCCAGGCGTCCTCGGCTTGGCGGTCGGTCAGCGGGACTGTTCGTGTACAGGATGAGAGAAGAGGACGCAACAAGGGTTAAGTTAAAAGCTTTGAGGTCCAGGTTAGACACAGAGGCGCCCACACTCTGGTGTACCTGGCTGACCCTTGGCTCCAGGAGTGGTGGGTGTCGAAGACTAAGTAAGACCTTTCGTGCAGGTCTCCCTGTCTGTCGAATAGGCTTCCTGGGGTGCCCTCTCCTCGTAATTGTTTAAATCCAAGTTGGCATTTTTTTACCTTTTGTGGTGCTGTGTTTGAAGGGCCCTTTCAACTCCTGTTAATTCCTCGTTGCAGGTTTTGCTCCTGTACTGTTTTAATAAGTTAGACAGTACAGTTCCTCTGTTGTTGGTTCTTGGGAGAGTTTATCAAGGAAGTGTTTAATAAACATTTAAAATATTAGAACACCCATTCTCTGGACTTCTTACATGGACTTTGGGGAAATACTAACCAGGCTAATTACTAATTGTTTGGCTTTATACATTCCCATCCAAATTTCCAAGGTGTCTAAAACCTTAATAAAATCAGCTGCTCTTCTGCGTAGTTTACAATTCCAATTCAGTATTGCTGAGTGTCATCAAAGATAGAAAAATCCCAAACTGGCAACAATTAAGAGATCTACTTTGGTGTAGTGATTAAGGCAGAAGCCAGGAGATTGTGAATTTGGAGGCATGAAAGCTGGAGGCCGTACGCTCTTTCCTCAGCACAACCCACCTCACAGGGTGGTGGTTGTGGGGAAAATAAGAGGAGGGAACATTATGTACACTGCCTTGTACAAAATAAAGGTGGGATACAAATAAGTAAATAATGAGTGTAAAGCATGCTAAAAGGAGCTCTAAGCACACGATTTAATTGGAGTACAGTGTCCAGTACATACAGTAATTGTATTAAGTAATGATAGGGGCTCTTCAAATGTTTGCTGGGGGAAAAAAACAGCAAATGTTCTGTATTTGGAAATATAATTCCAAGTCATATATAAAGTCAAAACTCTTTCCATCTTACTGAGATACTTTTTAAACCAATATAAATATGAGAAATCAACTGGGCAGCTTTAATTTAAATTTATTATTGTTATTTTGTTATTTGAGGTAAACAAAAAGCTAAATTGAAAGCTTGCAGCGATGTTTTTATCACTTCAGTTTGCCTTATAGGAACTTGTTAAACATAGAATTAAGTTGCTCTATCCACCAATTACTGAATTTATTTATTTATTTTAAAAGACTTATATAACCACCTATATTGTAACAATCACCCTGGGTGGTGCACAGAACAGTAAAAACAACAAAAAATCTCAAACAGAATAAAAAATTGATTAAAACTCTATAAAAATACTGCTTGTTTAAGTAGGCACTGAAAAGCATTGGGCTGAGGAGGGGTCATAACACCATGGAAGAAGTTTTGAATTAAACATTAAAAAAAAAACCCTCTAAGTGCACAATTTTTCAGAATGAATATTGGAATGTATTTAGATTCTGTGTGAGGCAGGAGAAGGGGCAGTGGCAGAGGACGGGAGAGGGGAGGTCTCCTGCCTCACCTGGCAACAGAACATGCTGTGCCCCACCAGCTGCCTCATCTGGCGATGCACTGGCAGCAGAAGATAGGGCTCCTCTCCCCTGCCGCCTCCTCTTTTTTTTCCTTTTAACTTGGTTGGACTTACGAACAAAACGGACTTACAAACAGCCGCTTGGAATGTAATCTGTTTGTAAGTAGGGGACTATCTGTATGTAGCATAAGGGGCAGTTGAGCAAGAAGCAACTCTAAATGGCAAAATATAATGCCATTGTCCTGTGAGGTGTTTGGCTATTGTCTGCCTTTGTTTTGTGACTTCTTGCCAACTTCCAACATACAGATCTCTAAAAAGGGGCATAATCTTTTAGAGTTTTAAAAAAGTGGGAACTGCAGTGAGTGTAGTGATAGTGCAATTAATATGCAAAAGGATCAGAATTTTGCACCACCCACCTGGGAGGGTCTTGAGAGAGTTTGGGAGCTGCTTGTTTTTCATTTTGTCTTTTTAATACTATTAAATTAATCCTATGGCTTATGTACCTTTTTTGTTTATTGCTCAAAATTGTCAGGAAATATCACCTCTAGTTTTTGGTTGTCTGCCAGAAATTGCCATTTGACTGCAGATTTCAAAAGGCTCTGGAAACTGCAGAAGGGGAATGGGAAGTTGGGAACTCTGCATAATAGCTGGCCACCCTTGCTGCAAAAATTCATTTTCAAACATTTCATCCCTTTTTCTGAACAGTCGGCCATGTTTAGTGTAGTCAGCTGTTACTGCATTTGCAAATATGGAACAAAATACACAAACTCTCCAGTTCAGCTTATTTCAAATGTTTTAAATTTAAAACCTTACTTAAAATAATATCCAGCTTTGTTTATATAAAAAGTGTCTAGTTTCACTGTATTTCACTTTTTCACCTACCAGTGAACCAGTGTCTTCCTCTTAAGGGTGAAGACAGATCTAGATAGCAGCTAAACGTTAACATTTTTAAAATTGGAGAATCAGCCATAGTTTGTTTCTCTGTACCTAAAATCTTATATTCCATCCTAGGTGCAGCCAGTACCCATATATTTACCAGGTGCAGCCTACATAATTCAAATATCTGGAGCTTTCTTTCACATTTCATTATAAATGTATTTTATTTTCACACATATTCACACATAGCATTTGTGCAATTCCTGGATTGGCTGTACAATGATGTACTTGCATGCTTTCATTCCCACTGGTTAGCAGACTTAACATCTGGGTTTTCAGTGCAATAGGAATCTGCAAACACAGTTTGAAGCAAAACAATTATCACTTAAGGACAGGCTATTTCTCATTGGCTGGAACTCCCTAGTCACCCACTTCTTGGCTTGCTCCATTCTGTGTATCTTTTAAGTCACCATAATGTCATGGCATCCTGACACTGGACTTCTAGAATCAAAGGGATACCTTTGCTCTTCACTTTCCCAGAAACCCATGTATCTATTTTCATATCACTTCATTCACTTTCATATCAAAATGCAGGATGAAAGTAGGACAGGAACTGAGATGGGTGCTCGATGCTGTTTTGCACTGTCCCTGTTGATCTGCTGGAGGAAGTCCTGGTCAGTTTATCTGAAGTTCCAAGCATTAGTGGTGTAGACAGTGGCCAGGTGATTCAGAGGGTCTGGGGAGTGAAAAATGATGGTTAAGCCAGTAATGTAAAGATAGCTGTTATGTTAGCAGTAGTATATGTTGATAGTTGATGATTGTATTGCTATTAATGTCTTGATACTATGTTATAAGACTGCACATTACTTTGTCAGATAGGGACTCCTAAACATGCATCTCTTGTTTAAGGGTAAGAGAAGCATAACTCAGGAGAGGGATGTTTAATACTTAACTTGCCAAGACCTCCTTTAAATCCTTACTAGCCATCCTGCCATTTTTTTCTCCATCTGGTTCCAAGACCACATATAAATTCCCCTGGAATAAAAGGACCAGAATCAGCAGTTTACCTTCATCTAAAGGAAAAAGGACACTCAACTGAGGACAATAATCTTCACATTTTGAACAGAGAAGATAGGTGGTTTGAGAGAGGAGTGAAGGAATCCATTTATGCCAAAGTGGAAAAATCCTTCCCTCAATAGTGGTGGAGGCCTCAGACATATCTCCCATTTTTCATGCTA